CCACGGAAGCTCAACATCATTGATTCATTTCAATGTGTTCGAATTACAAACTCTGGATTTCGTAAATACTTTCGAATCTGAGAATCGCTGAAGCCTACAGCAGGGATTTTCAAGCCACTAGACATAACTACCGGGGAACCTACGCAAGGGAATGGCACTGTTATCTTCCCACACAGTAGATGGACATGCAGCGGGACACACGCCTGTCCCAGTGGTTCTCAGGTTCTGTTTTCGCTAAAGGAAACGAACGAGAAAGACCAAGCCACTTCGAAAGCAACTGTTGTCTTATTTTCTTTGGACATTATACACTCTTTACTTTTTAAATTGCACATTTTAGAAACTGCGACGTTTCGGAGACCGGTTGTCTCCATCGTCAGATAAAACACAAAAGAAAAGGCGGTAGGAACAGATGCCTATTCTGCAGGAGCAATTATATACAGGCAGTTTCTAAAACGTTGTAATTGTTATAATTACAAAATATGAAACACAGGCAAAGGAAAATGTCCAAAGAAGACGCCATAACAATTGCACTATACCATTAGTTATTCATATCAGACTCACGGTGTCACAGTAACGAATTAGGCCTGAAATATCTTACTTTCTGCTTGTCCTGATTCTACTTTGCACTTAATTATCTTATTACACGCCAGCAGCTTGGAACACCTTGTCAATTTTAGAACGTTTGTATCAGATGAAATTTAAAACCGAACAGTTACAATAAAACAATTTGTTCCTGACTGCGACTACAATAAATTTTCCGCTTTGCTCAATCGCTGTATCATTTCAGCAGACTTTATAACTTTAGAACGAACAAAAATACTGAACCTCATAACCTTGACAAATTAACAGCGAAATTCAACACATAGGCCTACTGTATTTTATAATAATAATAATAATAATAATCCACGATGTTTTAAGTACTGTATTCATGAGCCGAGGCTAAACTTTGTCCTTAAGCTGGAATCACTAAATTCTTGGACTATGTCCATGGTATGCGTTTTTAAAAGAAAACTATATTTCGGAATCTGAATGTGACCTGCGGACGGAAGCAGATCCAGCTTTCGAAACATAGTGTTCATTTTAAAAAAAAACGCAGACGATCCACATAGTCCAAGAATTTAGTGATTCCGACTGTAACACACCATCGTCAGTGCCCTTTAAAATCGATCTGTCCTTGAGGTTTATTACACAGTAAGTTGTGGAAAATATTATTTGAAATTAATAAAATGGTATTTTAAGATCTTCCTCAAGATGTGCTCCTTCCGTAGTTCCATACTGGAGTGTTTCTCTTGGATGACTTCCAAATGCTTTTCAAGGTTTGTGATATATTATCATCATCACCCACTTTTAGAGGGGGGAAGTCTGCCCCCTTCCCTCCGTTCCGGACTTCACACCAAAACAAATCCGCCACAGATGACTAACTTCTCGACACGCACTGTCAACTTAGACACAGACCTAATCGAATTTCGCGGTGAGCTGTTAGCATTCCTTCGTATTCCTCATGCCCTGGGCTATGAATTTGTGAAGACGCTAACTATCGTGAGCGATTTTTCTGTTCCTTTTAGCCCATCCCTCCCAGCAAATACTGGGCAACACCTTAGCAAGTAAACGGAGACCTGAATTCATTCTTAAATATTTGTCATTTAATAAATTACCATTTCGAAACACAACGTATAGGCGCTTACGTTTCTGCTATAGGAAGTCGATTTTTATATGAAATTTAAGTGGATAAGAAGAAGGCTGTCTTCCGGGCTGTAGCGCCGTGCAGTCTGCCTCCATCATCAGGGTAATCGCCCTGATGATGGAGGCAGCAAAGACTTCACTAAATACAATAACCAAGCTAAGTCACGTAATCGAACAACAGTTAACCACACGTGTACTGAACGGCATCAGAGTGAAATATTGAGTTATCACGTGATTGCTTCACGGGCATCTATAACAATTAGCCAACAATTTGCTGTATCATGTCATGGCAAGGTGCATCCTCGGGCAACCACGCGAGTAATTTTCAGGCAGCCATCCTATGGATAACAAAGTGTATCGCCTTCCACAGCAATTTCAGTGTACGTCCAAACACCCTTTTTTCAAATGCCCGCAATAAATATTATTCCAGGACAACAGACTAAATTTCACGCGCGTTTAAATCACCAGGTTAAATTACAGTATTTACATTTTAAGCTTTATTTATATCTTACGTAACGACCCTATCCTGGAATGTACCTGGAAGGACTGAGGAAAACAACGGAAACCTCAGAACAACTAGTCTCTGAGCACAGATTTCAACCCGTGACCTCCCAAAGCCGGAGTGCCAAGTAATCGAAAGAGACGTTCTGATTTTTAGTTTATGATTATTTGGTTTTCGCGTAGGCAATCAGAAGATAATAAGATAAATGGTTACGAATTCAATGTTACCAAACATTCTGAAATGAAGGCTGTGGAGGTCAGGAACTGGAGAAGTGTGTATTGTCCTTTGGTTTATTTACGACGCTACATAAACTACAGGAGATGTTAGACTGGCACTCTGTCTGGATCTTATTTTGGAAATTATTTGTTCGATTCGTTACTTGTCAGAAAAAGGTTACTTTTGAATAACCAAAGAATGTTCTTATTACAATGCTATGTTAAGTAGTTTATGTAGCATGCATGACTCAGCTGAGCTTAGTTCACACTCTCTAGCCCTATTTATTTCAGATCTGTCTTAATATCCTCTCATATTCGCCTCATAGAAGTTATCTCTTCCCTTCTGGTTTGTGACAAATTTTGTAAGAATGTTTCCGATGTTTATATGCAGGAGCAGACAGAAAGAAAAAAAAATTTCTTACAGCATTCCTCAGTCTTAGGAATAAGTTTCCGCTTCCGTGAGCCATAACTATTATTTTTGCACGGGAATTTCGCCCACTGCTAAACTCCCAAAGTTGGAAGATTTGAGGTTTTTACGGCGCCGAGTCCGAAGATAGATGTCGTCTGGGTCGTTGCACCGTGTAGACTACACGGTGCTACAACCCAGAAGACAGCCATCTTTGGAGGTAGTCTGGTGGTGAACAGAACCCCAGGGTTCGCTCAGAGCCCCAGACGCTCCGTGGCTGTGCTGAAGGGGAGAAGTGTCTAGAACCACTCGTTGCCGTGAAGTTGCCTCGGACGTTTAATAACCGTCACGTCACGCAGCGGACTGTATCATTGTTTGTGTGACACCCGGTATGACACGTTCGGAGTCCCGTACCCAACCTCGCTGAAGGTGGATGGCCCGTCGTTGTAGATTGCACTGGGTCCCTCTATGCTGCACACAGAGTCCTCTGGAGTTCGAGACACTTCCGCTTCCGTTGTCTCGTGGTCCGTGGCCCCACCGCCGGCAGCCCCGTGGTGTCTCGTCGAACAGCGCTGATGTCGATGGTGGAGAGCCTGCTTCAACACACAACAGAAACAGAAGTTCGGGGAGGGGCAGCAGGTTCGATTCATGATTTGCAGCACACCTTCGCCGTTCGAGGGGTAGCGTTTTCGGAAAACCTCGCAAGAAATACAACAATGATGTGTGAAGTGAATGCCTTGCGGGGAAAATGATTTAGGGGCACTAAAGACACAGGAAACATGGTACTAAAAATATATATTTAATAAACACGACAACACTGGTGTTAATATTTATAGGAATGACGTCGGCCTTCTTATTTCAACGATGCCAGGGTGATCGAACGATATAATAAACGACGAAGGAGGAACCAGGAGGTGAGTTATCTTCTGTTGCTTTGCCTTCTTTCGCATGTCATCATACACCTCCTTGTATGGTGCCATGACAGACTAAATACAGAATTTTGATTTCAGGCACCTCTCCATGAAATGGCCAACCTCAAAACAAATTCTCGTCAACGTCATCCACCATCTGGAGGCCTTAATTGAGAGCTGAGGTCGACTCGTATGTCTGCTCATGAACTACCGTGAAAGAGCGAGGGACCAACTGCGCGATGAACAAATATTACCATATAATTTCTCTGCTAATGAGCAAAACAGTGATGATGAGAGTGTTTTGTTTATTTCTATTTAAAAAGCATTATCAGTTATCACCCTGGTATGTTATTACTTGCGATTATCGAAGGGTGTGGTTCGCCCTCAATAAAAGTATACAGGCCTACGTTGATTATAGTTTCTCTACATTGGGTTCTTCTCTAACTGCAAACAGTCCGGAACAGAAAGGCAAACTACAGTGACCTAACGGTGGACGAAAGCCAGATCTGCGCAGGAGAGTACAGAAGCAGAAAGGCTTGTTGTCCTACGTCACTGTCAATAACTACTGGCAGATGGCTGGATATCTTTTAGGAAATTGCGAAAAAACACATTTACGATACCATCAAGGGAGTGTGTACTGATATATCATCATTATCATCAAAATGTTTATCAAGATGGCAACAGTTCAACGCACAAACATGCCAATTTCCAAGTGTGAACATTGAAAGACGATCACATTTTGACTATTCATTCACATATTTATGAAGAATGTTATTTTGAGGTGTTCTGAATCAGGAACAGAGTTATTATCTAAATACGTAAAGTTACTTGAAAGTTTGTTACATTAAATTCCGAAATTCTTACTCTTGTCTAACGAATTTACTTTTGCGTTGTATTTGCATGTTCAAGGAAAGTAATGACCTTTCCTAGAACGAGGTATAAGAAATATGATTCCTGTTTTAATATTTTTAGTTTCCCGTTATTTTCAACAGGATGTTCTCAGTATTGGTATAAATGGTAAATTAACATGCAGCTAATTATGCATGCAGGAATTCTTTGTCTACTACATTACCTCCATGCTATCACTTTTGTAGTGCGATAGCCTACGTGTTATCTATTCTAACACAAATTTTTACTATATATCTCATGCACGTACTATCGTACCTTTTCTCTACTTCCTTTCTTCTGCAGCACCAAATGCATAAAGCATAATTTTAATAAGTTCTGTTTGTTTTCCTGACTGACAGATCTTCACATATTATTTCAGACTACAAGATAACTGAAAACTCCCTACCTCAACGTCTGTAAACAATATCACTCAGATCATACAGAAAACCACATTTCTGTGAGCTAGGTATTTACAGTGTTTAAAAAGAAGGTTTTGAAAAGCTTAATCTTCTTCTTTTTTCCGGTTTGACAATGTTTCCACATTTTCCGGTACCCTTTACGAGTCCCCAACTTTTTATTAGTTGGCTTGATCTATGGACATTCGGTAGGACTCCTTGGACGAGGGATCGGCCCGTCGCAAGACCTCTACCTGTACACAGGACAGCACAAATAGAAAAACATCCAGGCTTGAGTGGGATTTGAACCCACGGTCCCTGCGACCAAGCGGCACAAGACCCACGCCTCAGACCACGCGACCACTGTGGACCCCAGAAAAGCTTAATATATGACAATATATAATTTTGGGAAAATTACAATGGCTGAATTAATTTTATAGCATTTCTCAGTATCAAATACGTAAATGTTAAAAACAAGATGTAAACAAATGAATGGAGAAAAGGTGTGGCAAAGCGAACAGCATGAAACAAATCAAAATAAAAGTCTGTTTCCTATTTCAAAGAAAAGACATTACTTCTTCGCTATAATTAATCATTTATTTGTGACGTTAGGAAAAATAAATGTAGTTTAATCAGACTCTCAGATATATTAGAAAATTAAAATTGTTAATTGAAAATAAAAACTAATAAATGTAGTATCAAAATTGTTATCTTTTTATAAAATCCAGATTTAAAATTTTAAAAATCTGTCAACAGAATTAATTGTGAGATAAAATCCTACGGAATTTTCTAAATTTTACTTTGTATTTATTATAATTACACTTTTTAATGTGAAGAAAACACACATAATAAAATATAAGTCACTACATATGAGGAAATATTTACAATATCTTAAAAAAGTAAACTCAGATTAAATTTTATAATATATCAGAAGTTCCTTTTTACTACGTGTAAGTTAAAACAGAGAAAACTTTACGAAATGGAGAAACAGAAAAGCAGCACCTTTAGAAACTTACATTGACTCTTACTATTAGCCTGAATCTCCCAAAACGAAAATTGCTCATCCATCTTGACATCTGCTTAGTCTTCAAAAATGCGATAACCTTTCAAGCACTGGCAGATTGCACAGCCCATTTCTTTGGAACAACGAATAAAATAATCTAAGACTAATGGAGTAACATTATGACTTTCAGAATGTGTTACATACGGTTGCATTTTGATTCGTAGAATTTAAATGACACCTTAACCTTTACTGTCTCTGAGTCACTACTTATTCGTGTTCGAGCTCGGTGTGTGTTGTAGTAGCATAATGCCAAACCACTAATAAAACAGTTGAAAACTGGACAGCCCAAAGTACAGGGGCTTCAATTTCCTGTTCCTGTACAATTGAGGTTATGTTGTATATAAACGACTTGAAAACTGAATGGATGGAAGACCTAAAATTGTAAGATTTGAGGTTTTCACAGCGGATTTTTATACTAAATGAAATGTAACTCTAAATTCATACGTATTTTGTTGTCATTTGTTGTGACAAACAATCTTTAGAGACTACCATTTTAACTGTTCACTTGTTTATATCCTGTAGAATATTTTAAATGCTTTTATATAGATATAAAAATTAATTTGTTCCTCAAAACACAGCGGAAGAACCTTTATTTAAAGCTTAAAATATGTGAAGCCTTCCTGCCCAACTGTACTCACAGAATATGGTATACTACATTCACATTGGATCCAAAACTCTTTTTGTGAAAATACTGAATTTCTGCAAAGGGGTCGCTTCAAAAGAAAACTCACTGCAAAGATACTACACTGGTACTTCATTCCATCGTCTTACAGAAAATGTCACTTTCTTGGCATGTATAGTTAAACTAGCTTCTTTTGCTTCAGAAGTGCTGCCTAAAAACTTGTTTGCATAAGGACGTATTATGTACCTGCAAGGAGAAGCGACGGTGTGCCACCTTGCGACCACCGCGGCGCTTGGAGATATGTGGGTTGTCTGCCCGGATCGTCTTATTCTTGAGCACTTCAAGTTGCGTGTACAGCCGCTTTAATTCCGCCTGCGGATAAAAGTCCATTGAGGCACTAACCCTACTGACGTTAGTGCCCTGCAGAGATTTGACGATCTCGAATCAGCAGGATGATTAAATACAGATAAAAATTAGTCTGTAAAGTGACTGGTTGTGGACAGGAAGACAGTGGTTCAATTTTCAGGGGAACAAAAGTATTTTTCTTTTTCAGCGCAGTTATTCCCTTCTATCAAACAAGCAGTGGTGGTATAATGAATGTAAGAGTGTACCTTTGATTTTCCTCTACAATGAAAGGCTTGCTTCAACCTACAGCAACAATTCTTCTCCTCCTCCTTCTTTTCCTTCTCCTCCTTCCCCTTCTTCTTCTTCTTCTTCTTCTTCTTCTTCTTCTTCTTCTTCTTCTATGGCTCTCAGGTCCGTATTCGGTTCATGGCCTCCTCAATTCCCCTCTTCTATTCGGGTCTGAGGAGGCCATGGACAGAAGAAGAAGAACAACAAGAATTGTTGCTGTAGGTTGAAGCAAGCCTTTTATTGTAGAGGAAAAGCAAAATTACACTCTTACATTCATTATAAAACCACTGCTTGTTTGATAGAAGGGAATAACTGCGCTGGAAAAGAAAAATACAGCAACAATTCCATGTTGCTTTATAACAAACAGCTCTTTCGTACCAAAAGTTTGTAATTTGTTTCTCAAAGGTTCTCACTTCGAAGGACCACTCTGTACAAGAATATTTTTTTTTTGTAACTAGACGGATGGCGAGATAGGAGACTGGAGGGAATTGAGTACTCTTCACTGGTTATTATTAGGATGAAAATCAAGAAGGATAAGATGGGCAGGGCTTGAAGCATGCATGGGACAGATCAGAAAAGCATTCATTACATAGTCAAAACATCTGAAGGGAAGACCTAGAAATAAATGGGAGAATAATATTAAAACAGAAACTGATGAGATGAATATGCGTGCGGACAGGACTCATCTATTTCACTACAGGGACTGATGTGGCAGTTTAACAATATATCAGAGGTGCTTGCTGCCTTCATCATCAGTAAACTTCTACCTGACTACACAGAGCTACATCCCAGAAGATAATCTTCTTCATACTCACCGTGATAAGAACCTGAAATCTCACCAATATTTGGGTTGTTTAAAGCAATTTAGGCGTAAGGCTCACCCTAATATCTTCTGGGTTCATGTCGGCCAAATTAATTTCTCCGACATCCACGTCGCTGCTGTTGGTCCCAGTGATGCCATCTTGTGGCTTGAAAGCATCAACAGGTATGCGGCACGAGTAGTCGTAGTGCCTCGTTCCCCGAGAGTCTGTCACTTGCTTGTGTTGGTACCACAGCTGCAATACGAAACAGACACTTCTTGCCACATGCAAGAAAAGTTGGCAACACTCTCATTTTATTCTCACCAATAAGATGAACCTGCATGACTTAGTTCGCAGTTCAACTTCGTATATCTTTTAGAATATTGAACATTATCAGTATGTGAAATTTCTGTATGAAATGAATCGGAAGTTTTAAAAATAAATGCCTAAAAACTATCAAATGTTTTGTCTGACATATCTTTTTTGTATCGACCGAACTACTTCGACTTTCCTACAATGACTTTTCACAGCCGTGATAGCAGTTGACCTAATTAAAGAGTTGGACGTCTGGAACTCACGAAAGTTAAAAGTTCTGTTATCAGCTGTCTACAAAGTAGAACTTTCTTCTTTTCGTTCTCTCATAAAGGTATGTAATGTAGATATACGCAGACAACATGATCTTAAATGTTACTGTTCTTTCCTTACAAAACAGAGCTCGCTATGCCTTTGCATGTGGTCGATAACAAAATGAGAAATAACTTCGTTTAGTGACGACAAATGAAGACAATTCTTGCCTTAGGAGTGAATATGACGAGCAATACGACGGTTGATGTGAGCTGGCTGCGTGTGAAATACGCGAGGAAGCTGTAGTCTGGGTGGAGCGACCTGGAGTACACAATACGCAGCACGTAGAAGGCACCACTCACGGTGGCTTCCACCACAATGGCGAGACAAAGGAAGCGACGCTCCTGGAACTGCGTCGTGGCGTTCCGACACGCGTAACTCAGGTGAATCCCGAACACCAAGATAAGGATTTCACCTGAAGACCAAGTTTTAAGTGAACTGTGCGCTATAAAAGTGATCTCAACATTTCTAATTCATATCAAAGCTTTAACAGTAAATTCATCCACAAATGATCCTCTGGTAAAATATGCTTAGAACTCTTACTGAATGAACCGGCTGAATTGAATGGGCACTCTCGCGGTTCTCACAAACGTCATGCATCTGTACAGTCCCAGCTGTGGTGTTAAGATTGCATTATATTATTCCGTGAAAACTGAGCTTACAACAAGTGGTACAGTCATGCGACCCACTCGACGTACAGAAAGGTATAATCACGTGTACCATCGGTGACCCTCATGCAGGGCCGGACTCAGGCCCTAAGCTATGTCAAGTTTAAGTGGTCTCAAAAATTAGGAAGCAGATATATATTATTATCACTGAAGGGAACATTAAAAACCCAAAAATGAAACTGACGTAAAAGAAATCATTATAGTGAAGACAGCCATCTTCAAACTCGCCGCCGTGAAAACCTCAAATCTTACAAAGGCGACTTTAAACTTGTTTGAGGTTCTCATATCACAAGGTCCTAAGCTGTAACTCCGGCACCGTCCTTATGGGACCCAACGTGTTCTGAATTATGCACTAATTCATATAACATCCGTATTCCGGCGATCTGATTTTATAATATGAATCCACCTCCCCTATTCTAAGAGGTTCAGGGTAATACCACGTAACTCGACTGCACTACTTCAACTGCTGTCCAGAATCGAAGCATGAGATAAATGTTTTCAGTACGACGTGACCATGGCTTCGCCGCGACTATTACGAGCCCCTCACATGCGAAGTAGTTTGCCCGTAACAACACAATGCTGTGGTTGTAGAACTAAACTGCCATATGATAAGTTCCTAAGCGGGTAACATGAAGGAATTTCTTGTACCTGTCTCTGTGACGTAGTCCCACCACAGCGCTTTGCAGGCGAGGAACTGCAGTCCCTCGTACGTGGTTCCTATGGTGATGACGTCATAGTTCTCCTGTATGAAGTTGAGATTAGTGGCCGTCCAAGCAGCCATGTACCCGAATACCACTAGCACCATCCCGAGCAAATACTTGAGCAGGTCTTTGTCGCGAACCACCCAGCGGTGCGCTTTTCTGGTGCGAAACTCGATCAAAATCCTGCACATAACAGCTTTATTACTACACACTTTAGCGATTCACAATAACCAAGAGAATGAAACAAAGGCATAGCAAAAATAAACACGCAGCTGAATACAATGAGGCATCGATAAAACATCTATGACGATGGCATCGTGTTGTCTTATATCCGTCTCAAAATAAGTAGCCATCGGGTGGAGCGTCCAACACTTCCGCCTGAGGTCGTGTTCGCAGAATTCCTTACAGCATTATTGCAAAGCTAACTGCAGTACGCCTACAGACATTACTCTACTATAGAAGATGATAAATTTGTTTATCTTTGGGCCTATTTATTTATATATCCATCACATTAAAGTCTTCAAATGAACTAATGGCTCTGATGAACTCATATTTTATATTACGAACTGAGCTTCATGCAAAGTAGGCTTATAAGCTGTAGGACCAATACGAATAAAAATTAATTTTGTCCAAAAACGTTTTGCGTTGAACACGAATTTTGCATTGCATCTAAAAGCGATCGTTACATTCCGATACGAAGTCTGCAAAGGAACGAGAGGAATCTGACTGAGACGTCTTCATGTTGTGGTCCTTGCGGAAGCAAGTACTCAGTCCCCGTCCAATTCTTCAGATCACTCACTGATCTCTTTCTGTTCACGGTTTCCTCAAACTTTGCTGTTAGGTAAATTCCACTGACGTAAATGCAACAGTTTATGAGTAACCAATACTAAATGTTAACAGCAGTTTTCTTAAAAATAACAGAAATAATAAAACTTTTTGCTTTAAGATGGCTGTGTTCTGGGTTATAGGGCCATGTAGCCTGGTAGATGTATACCGACGTTTCAGAGGCACTTGCTGCCTACATCATCAGTCGGTAACTTCTACCAGAATACACGGAGCCAACCCAGAAGACGCCCGACTTCATTCTCGCCTCGCGAGTACCTAAAATAAAACTGTTTTTCGGTTGTGACATACGTATTATAGGTTACATTGCCTATAAACGTTGTCCACTGTTCTGTCCTTCCCCAACGCGACACTGCTTAGTGGTCGCATTATGCCTTAAACCGTTGCCAAGCGAGAAATATCGATGAGAAAGGGCGATCGTCCTAATGATGATGAAGGCAGAAAGCGTCTCCATTACGTCTGTACCAGTCCACGCGGCACATCGTCCCCAAAGGCAGACAACTCACAAATATAGTAATTACTCGTACTTATCGTGAGATTATTATATTTGCATATCAAGCAGGAAATCCTTAGAATTTGTTGTGATTCTTGGTAGAACTGATCGCTTTTTAAATTATAGACCTCATGTTGATGATAACCCTATAATTTACGAGGCAGAGGGCACCATTTTCCATTAGTCAATGGATTAGTTGTGATACAGTTTTGTGTATTTTGCAATATTTAGTATAAGCACCCATATCTCACTAGCAATTTTAGAGAACGTCATTTTTGCGATATCCAGTACACTCATTCACTTTGCAATGCTTAAAAACAGAACCACCGATCGATATAGTTAAATTTTGTAATAGACTTCAACGTAAGTAAACTACACGTTACTTTTACTAAAATATCAGATAAGACACGACAGGAACACACAAATTCACGTGCCCCACAGTTTGTCCACTCACCTATACAGCTTGAGTATGATAGCGCCATAGCAGATAACAAAGCCCAGTTCCCGGCACCATGGCTCCAGCAGACATTGCTCCACAGATGGGTCAAAGAACCTCACAACGACCTGTTACAGGACATGGGTCATTTTAAATAAGCCGGACGATGTTATAACCAAAGCAAAATTAAATGTGACGTACAGAATTCTGACTGTAGTACGATGTTATGAGAACATAATGTTAACCCCAAGCGTCACTTAATGACGCATTACATGACCTGGAAACAATAATTAAAGGACGAATGTCGTTTCCAGTTTCCTTGTCTTATCTGTAAGTTAAGTGGTTCATTAAAACTTTTATTATTATCCCATCTCTTCACCATTTTACAGGTTATGTACTTCCATGTACCCGAGACAAACCTTGCCCCTAAGGTACATAGGGCAGCAGCTATTTCCGAAATACATTTTGTTTTTAGTATGTGTTACATGTATTATATAGTTTTATTGTGAGGGATGACTATATATTTTACGACAGCGTCTTTCGAAATCTGTATTTATTTAACTTAAAAAGTTTTGCTGGCATTTGCTTGAAAGCTGATAGTAGTTGTATTTATCCATGCAACTGGGTTTAATGTCAATCCATTGTTTGTTAACTTCCTAACAGTTTCGATATAAAGTCATTGTTAATGGTAAAAACATCAGTTATTAATACCACAGTAATTTTCGTATTATTTCGATAAATTCAATATGGTTTTGACAACAGAAGAAAGTACCTTTACTGAATAAATTCTACGTCTACAAAAGTTTGTTTCATTAAAAGTTTGTGTTGTTTGCCCTTATTCTTAGACAGTGTGAGCAGATCAGTGTTCCTCAGAAGCAGAAAATGTAGTGTCTTTCTTTTTCGCATTAGCTAATTCTCAAAACATGCAAAGGGCCGCATAAAGATCTTGCAAGGGTGACATGTGGCCGGCGGGCCGCAAGTGCCGACCCCCGACGTAAAGTTGTTTGAATTCTTCTGTGATAATTCTGATGGTTTTTATGTCAACGATTAATAATTTCTGTTTCATACGTATGTTCTTACCGTTGAATACAGGATAAATATTCCAAGAAGTATCGTCTCCAAGATTGTCCACATTCCGGAAGCTATGGTCTGCAGACAGACAGAAATACAATGACCATCAGATTCAGATGTTTCCAAAATATTCAAATTTATTTGAAGTTCCTAAGACGTAACTGTTCATGTAAAATGTAAAAAAAATTAAACAATTGCAAATAGGATATATCGGAATAAATTACCTTGTAAATTGATGTATTTGCATTTTCACTGACTTATGTGATGCACTACTCAAGTTATAATTACGAACTGGATTGATTTTTTGTGTACGTAACCATACAAAAACTGGCAAATTCACATTCCAAGGCGTCGTCGAACGCCTGCGGGTCACTTGCTAATGGAACCAGTATGGACGCACGTGTAGCGAAGACTCGATAGATCGTAAAGCGAACGTAGGAGCTTGTTTACGCCAAAGGTTTGAGGATCAATGGTCAGGGTACCCTGAGGAGGACGACGAAGATGGTTCTCGAAACGTCGGTGTTTTCTCCATTCAACCACCTGAAACGGCTGGCAGCCCGAAAAGAATTCATTACACTTAGTCGCCGTGAAATCTTCAGTTCATACACAAATGGTCAGGTTTGTTGGCGTTTATCTTCTGAGTAGTGGCGCCACGTGAACTTGTAGGTAGATACCAACGCATCAGAGGAACATACCAGCTCCATTTTCAGTCCCAAAGACCAATATCGTCATCTTCACCGCTCTAAAAACCTCAAATATCACTTGGCCTGCTGTAGTTTCAACGGGACGGGATCTCGGCTCATTTTTCCATCAACGCGCGGAAGTTACTAAGATATTACCACGGGCGGGACAAATCGCACACACAGATTAATGAAAAATGCATACAGCGATTTGGTCAGAAGAATAGAAAGGAATAGAGCAGCTGGAGGACTGCACATGGACCACAGAAATCGCGTGGACGAGCATGGAATGGATTAATCTGGTTCAAGGCTGGAGCCAGTGGCTGGCTCATCTGAACGGTGTAATGAGCCATTCATTTTAATAAACGAGGGACTATTAGCTTCTTACGAAGGTCTCTGCCCCATGGTGTTAATTAGTACGTAATGGGGTTCTCCGATTAATCTGGACAAGTATACTAATAATTACCTGTCTTAAACGGAAACCCGTCTAAAACTCAAAATACTATTATTATCGTCCTCTTGATTCCTTTACAGCGATGACTAACACAGCGACTAACACAGGTGAACTGTTAATTAGAAAGAATTCTCTGCAGACTGGGAAGCAGAGTATTGGGTACGACTTATGTGAGTCTGTAACAATGAAGGTCGCTTGTCTGACCTTGCATTTGCGCTGCGTGAAGACGACAATGGCCAGGACTACGGTGACGCACATGCAGAGTATCTGGACGCCAAGGACGACGGTGCGGAGCAGGTAGTCGTGTCGCGCCATGCAGGGGGAATCCCGTCCACAGACGTCGCAGCCTTCCGGGCAAGGCACACACCTGGACAAGAAAACGTTCCGTTAATCTTGGTCCCACGAACATTCAACGTCCTGAAACAGCTTCCCAAGCGGTCGACGCCTGCACACGAAACGCTGTATCGTGTCAGTCAGTCCAAAAAATCATATATTTGGAAAGTGAACAACAAATTAAAATAGAATCAAAGTGTGAATGATCATCACTCACTGGATTTGACGTTCTTTTATTAAAGATATGAATTATTGCCAGGGATAATCAACAGTCGAGTAACAAAGCCCATGGAGCACAGTCATTATTAAGAATATAAAAGTTGCTCAACTAGTGAAGAAATTCTCCCTAATTCTCAGGAACGCGGAAGTTTATTACCGTGTTCACAGCAGCCTCTGTCATATGCCAGATTAATCCAGTCCACACCAATTCACGCCCCGCTCTGTTTTATAGTCTACCAATGTCTTCAGCGTCACAACATAGGAATTTATATAAATGTTTATTTATTTTTCGTGCAACGTATTGAAAAATATTTAGATTTTTATTAGACTATATTTAAATCATTCACCAGTTTTAAGCCTTACTTTCCTTTCTTCAAGAAAACAAGTTATTATTTCAACAGGGCCTACGCACCCTCCAATCCAGTACGTTTCTAAGGGAGATATTTTCTCCGGAGGGAAAGTAGGGCGGTGTTAATGTGACCACTCAACTCCACTTACTGCCGAGGTTATAAAGAATGGAGCTATACCTCCATGCCCCCATGCACCTTTATGACATGGTGCTAAATTAATCAACTGAGGAATATTGTCACTGTGTTGTACAACACAATCCAAAATCTGCATTAAGTATCAGAACTCGTGAGCTAAAGTATTGACATTAGGGTCGTAATTCTAACAATGATCGACAAAATTGGAACTACAAACTTCTTTCTGTACATATTCTTCAGCACGAAGGTGTCACAGGCTATTAACCACAAAACACGGAAATCATGATCGGAAAGTTGTAACTGTTCTAAGTAAATAAAAAAACGTCAGTTTATTAACTAGCTGAGCAACTGTTAGCTTCTCAAGAAGCAATGTTCCATGGAGTTCGTCAAATAAATACAATCTGTGCGTTACAAATTTCAAAAATGTCAACCGCGACGTTGTAAAGCAGAAAGTTACGCCAGGCAACAGACATTAGAAAAAACTCAAAAAAAGCAGAACTTCGAAAAAGTTTTAAGTTAACACTGCAGCCTCAGCAGAGTTGGAGCAGGGTTCACACCAACTACCCAGAACTCGTTTCGTTTATGAGACTGGTTACGTAACAAGGGGAAAAACTGTTGTGTTACAGCCGTTTGGAGTGCGCTATTTATTAAGTTAATATTGAACGCAAGACTACGAAATAACTAGATAATCATAGGAAAAATGTAAATAATCGCGCTCACAAAAATTATCTTGTTAGTTTCGGTTCGCTGCTTCCTAATTGTATCTGTGTTGTGGCGTGAAATCTCTCCTTATTCAATTATATTTTAAGTTTTACAATTAGGGAACTTTTATGAAAATTTCAACCCGTAGACTCCCGAAACTTTCGACTAATATGTTTTTCGGAACTAGGATACTATTTTTAAGGTGTCACAAAATAATTTTCATTGTATCACCCGAATGTAAGATCAGGTGTCGGAGATAATTGTGTAAGGAAACCAAGGTACATTATCCTTGTCTTATTTTAGTTATGGACTGATACTTATTAACTTCTTATTTTAGACTGAACATACTGAAATACGTATGTGCTTTTCATACATATATACATCACTAATTTGTCCCAGAAATAAGAATCTGAAATAAATATTACTGAGCTTCTATTCTAAAAATGTAGGTCAAACGACAGTCATTTTACCGTAGTAATCAAATAAGTAATTTCACGTAATCCAATAAATAATCCATGCAGTTCAACTGTCATAACCACCATTAAATCATCATCAGAGTGACGATATAGTTTGACATTACAAACAATACAGATTTCTACCAGTGCCTATCGATTTTGTGACGATAACTGAATACATTTAAACACGTAAACTGGAAGTTTTATGTTGAAACAGCAATAATGGCGACAGCCCAGATCTTTGAGCTTACATTCCCAAAATTAATTGAAATCAGCCTTTCGAGGATTATATATAGCCCAATCGATTTGTAATGAATTAGTGACTCGATATTTCATTATGAAAACCTTTAAAATCGGCTCAAGGATTAGATTTGAGGTCGTTAAAAATAAAACGTGTTTTAAACAAAGTCAAATCTAAAGCCAAAGCCACGTGTATAAACATGTCAAAATTATAAAAAATCCCTGCATTAGAACCACTGCAAACAATGGGAGTTAATTTTAAAATATGATTCTGGTGGATATTTTCACTTTTATTGGTTTAAAACCTTCCACTCTGTATGGGAGATTTTTGGAACACATACTAAAATAGAAAGTAATACGAGATGGAATCAGACAATGAAACAAAAGCTTTTGCAAGGCTGTGGTCTTGCCGATGTTCGTGTGTGGAGCGAAATGTTGGACTCTGAGCTGACAAGAGACGAAAAGACGGGATAAAACGGAAATGAGAGTCCAGAGGGCAGCAGCTGGATACAAATTGATCAACACGAATACAACAACGACATAAGAGAAGAAATTCGAATGGGCTATTTAGTCTTGAAGACAAAATTAAAGAATCAGAAAAAATATGGTTACAGAATGAAGCTAAGCAGAGCAGATGTGGAGCAAACTATTTCATTGCAGCCCAAGAGGGTTAAGAACTGCGGGCCGACCCATCAGAATACGGAAGGACCTGTTAAAGTTTGAGGAACATGAAATCGGAACAGGTAAACTGACTCAATCCATGAGAATGACGACGATAGTGTGTGTTAATGGATGCAGAAAGTAGACCAAATATAAAAACTGTGCGTCAGACAATACAAAAAGGAATATACAAATAAAATAAATTTAAATCCGTCTACACAATTTTATTATATAAACTATGTCTTCATTTTTATTCATTCATCTTTTGTTCAAAATTGCTACTATCTTCAGGTGGTACAGCGATATATAAAGGCTGAAACTGAACCGTGTAGCATGTAAAGTAAAGTTTGTCCCACTATACGCCATGTAGGCGCTTGGGGTGAGTGGAGGTGTACCTCCTCTCTTTATTGACCTCGGCACTAGATGGGGGTGAGTGGTCAGCATCACGCCCCGGCCGGCTTTACCCCCGGGAAAGGACTCCGGTACCCATTGTAGAGGAGGGCCCAGAGCCGGTCCGGACGCAGAGGCTAGAGGAAAAATCCTCTGCCCCCGTCGGGGATCGAACCCCGGTCGTCCAGCCCGTAGCTAGTCACTATAATGACTGAGCTATCCCGGCTCATGTGTAGCATGTAATATTGAAGTTAAAATGATAAATTGTTAAATTAATAAAATGTTAAATCACATAATGTAATTATACTTTTTATTATTATTTTTTATTATTATTATTTAGTGTTCTGTCTGACGACAGGTCCATATGAACAGGATCCTTCCATCCTTTTCTCGGACTATACGTTCTTGGCAGATGATCCAAAAGTGGTTTGCCATTGCCTTCTTCTGTGTGTGAATGGAGTAATTGTTGGGCTGCCACGGAGAAACCGAGGAAAACTCCGTGTTGCCTCGACCCCGGCCTTGCCCAACACAAGTTATAAATTCGGGCACCGCCGGGAATCGAACCCGAGACCCCAGGATTACAAGGCCAGCGTTCTAACCGCTAGACCACCGTGGCTTGGTACAAATTACTACATCTAAGAATCCTTTATGTAATTAAAATAGTTAAATTGCAGGAATAAAAATTAAATATAGTAATTGTGGTTTTTAATAGTAGTTGACATAAAGCTCGATGCCTAATGGATTATAGAACGTAAATCTTTACGCCAGAAGAATATGTGGAATGCGAACTACAGTGATGAGTGTCCAATGTCTTCCACGTATAAGACAGAATTATGCAAGATAACTGAGTTACAAGTGACTAGTTGGGACTGTGATGAAGATACTATTGAGATTTTTTCCGATGTAGTATTGGTTTTGGTGTACGGTCGATTGTGGGGACGACGTATATTGAAGTGGACTATGCGAGAGCTGACAAAGAAGAAAAGAGAAAGAATGAAAGAGAAGACACCTCATTTAAAGGAAGAGCCATTGAGAGCTTGAAAAATGGTATTGCGAACATACTGATTGAAAACACAGCAGTATGAAGTACTCCTAGAACAGCGTCCTTGTCGAGTTTATTAGTCGCTCAGATAACCGACGTTTCATGAAACCCTAATGTTCATAACGAACCCGTTCTGTAAAATATTTCGTCGCATGCTACTTTTTTATGGTTTTCATTCTTAAAATAAAGAAATCAGGCAGAGATTACCTTGATATCTGTTCCCCATTTAAACCACACCATCAACCAATTTTCAGGAAGTTCTCTACGAACATCACGCCTCCTACTTTCTGATTTCCTAAAAGTAAAATAAAGTTTGTCCCACTATACGCCATGTAGGCGTTTGGGGTGAGTGGAGGTATAGCTCCTCTCTTCCTTGACCCCGGCACTAGATGGGGGTGAGTGGTCAGCATCACGCCCCGGCCGGCTTTACCCCCGGGAAAGGACCCCGGTACCCATTGTAGAGGAGGCTGGGTGGGCCCCAGAGCCGGTCTGGACGCAGAAGCTAGAGGAAAAATCCTCTGCTCGGTAATAATAACATGGCGGACGCGCGAACTTGTGTGGGGGTAAGCAACACTAGCGCCACTTAGTATAGGATCAGGAAAGGGTGTACGGTAATAAATCTTCCAAAAATATGGAATCTTTGTTATGCCATTTCCTTTTATGTAAAAAGAAGAACAACATGACGGTTGCGAACGTTGAAAAACTACTACTAGACTACACCCAGAAGGCAAACATCTTCATACTCGCCGCCGTGAGAACCTCAAATCCTATTAATTTACAATCATGGCGCTGATGCATAACTTTGAGGTTATGTTCGACAGCTTCAACTTTGTCAAAATCT